CACAAAAGACTTAGAAAAAAGCCGACGTTCTATGTCGATTCTATATGACCTCAGTTTTCGAATGGTAAGTAACTTGTTGGGGCATTTTGCTCTCAGGGCTCACTTACCCCCTTCACCTTACAAGGATGGGAGTAGCAGAGACCCCCTTCACCTGGAGAGGGCCCGGCTCCCCCTATCGCACCTATGCTTCGGAGTCAAATTTGCGCCCGATATATTCCAGAAGATCATGGACTTAATGATATGTGGACTAAAAGGAGTAGCCGCATACCTAGATGATATCATCGTTACCGGAAAGTCTTATAAAGAACACCAAAAGAATTTGGATGCACTGTTTAAAAGACTTGAGGAATACGGCTTTTACGTCCAGCTGAAGAAGTGCAACTTCTTGATGCCCGAGATTTGCTATCTTGGATGCGTTATAAACAAGAACGGTCGCCACCTAGATCCAAAGAAGATTGAAGTAATCTGCGAAATGCCTCCACCAAGGAATATTGCGGAATTACGTTCTTTCTCAGGAATGATCAGTTACTACGGGTCGTTTGTAGCAGAAATGCATCAGTTACGCGCACCATTGAACGCATTGTTGAAGAAGAACGTTCCTTTTGAATGGACGGAAGAATGTGAGAAAGCTGTCAACCGTACCAAGAAAGTTCTTACTACTGATCTGCTCCTAACAGATTTTGATCTTGAGATACTGGCTGCCGCTGACGGTTTCAGATTAGGGAATTGGAGTGGTAATACTGCATAGAATGCCGGATGGAACATAAAAAGCAATTTGCGATGCAAGTTGAAGTCTCACCGTCGCCGAGAGAAACTATGGACAGATTGAGAAGGAAGGACTCGTTTTGATATTTGCAGTCCGCAAGTTCCATCGCTACATCTATGGACGTCGATTCATACTGCTGACGGATCATAAACATTATTACATATCTTCGGAGCGAAGAAAATGGTGCCAGCGTATACACAACGATGAAAGTTAATCCTGCTAGCTTACGATTTCGACCTTTAATATAGAAAGACGACCGATTTTGGACAAGCTGATGTGCTGTCCCGCCTAATTCCCCCAAAACCTTCATAAGATATGGTGATCGCAAAAATAGAAGAAGACATGCACCATCCAAAGCACTGCCGTAAAAGCACTACCCGTGACAAGAAGTGCGATTGTAGAAGAGTCCCAGAAGGACGAACTCATATCGCAGGTCATAGAGCTATACAAAAAGAAATCATGGTCACCCAAAGCGAAAGGCGAAATTGCCAAATGGAAGGCACTAAGCGGAATTCTGTCAGTTCAAGACGGATGTTTATATATTGGCCACAGGATAGTTATTCCGACCGCTCGACAGACTGTCTTAAGGCAGTTACACGAAGGACATCCCGGAATGACACGGATGAAGATGCTTGCGAGAGGATACGTGTACTGGAAAGGCATCGATCAAGACATCGAAGAAACCGTCTGCCGTTGTCGCGGCTGACAAGAAGCCGCGAAAATGCCTGTGAAAACAGAGCTAAGTTCATGGAATTTGGAAGAGAAGCCTTGGAACAGGGTACATATCGACTTTGCGGGACCTTTCAACGGAAGATCGTATCTTATACTAGTTGACGCATTATCAGTATGGCCAGAAGTTTATGAGATGTCATCCACTTCAGTCAAAGTGCTACTTTACGAAAATTAAAATAATTATTTGCACAGTTTGACAACCACAAGTACTCGTTTCAGACAATGGAAGTTAGTTCAATCAAAGAATTTCAAGATTTCTGCAGGAACTGTGGAATCGAACATATCCGTTCACCACCATTCTACCTGCAGCCAAACGGTCAAGCAGAACGTTTCGTGGACACCTTAAAAAGAACGTTGCAGAAAATAAAGGAGGGGAGATGTTGGATAAATTAGCTGAACTTCTGCAGAACTATCGCAGGACGCCAAACACTTCAACACCTGAAAAATTATTTCCTGCTGAATTATTCTTAGGTCGACGAATCCGGACAAAGCTTTCGTTATTAGATGAATCAGCGAGAAAAGTAGGGAAACATGATACCAAGATGGAGGAACAGTTCAACCGCCATCAAGAGGCAAGGTCCAGGTCGTATGATACGAATGATCACGTACGGGTCAGAGACTACCGCTCAAAACATCATTGGATCCCAGCTGTAGGACACCCAACCAAATGCGCAGAAAGGACGGGAGCACCAACGCAGCCAACGAAAACATTAGTCAAAACTGAGAAGCCGAAGAAACCGTGTTGCAGATACTATTTCTCAGATTGCAACCCAACTATGTCACCAAACTCCGAGACATTATCATTCAAGAAACATCATGGTAGATATCTAATGAAGAAGAAGAACGTAAAATAGTTTTGTCTTAGGAGGGAGGTGTTGAGGATTGATATGAGTGATAATGACTTTGTTGATGTAAACTCATTTGATATATATAGCTGTGACTGTATGGTACTTCTTAGTTTGTCCTCTCGGATAGTAAGGGAATCACTCAAGCCGTTCTCAAGCCACAACAATGATCTTCGCTAAGGACACAATAACATCGATGAGCAGAGTTCAAGTAAACTGTGGTTTTTCTTTCGAGTTCCATAAAGTGGTGATCGTACAACGCTGCGGCACTTCAATTTCCTTCTCCGAACATTTTGCTTGGGTTTGCGGTAGCTTGTCGTATTCTGTTATAAAAGACTGCTCGGTTACGCTTTTACCAAGAAAAGACAAAAACAAATCACTTTCCAACGTGACTTGAAGTTCCGAAAAAAAAAGAAGTTTCGCGAAGCGATCGCTGTGTCACCGAATTCTCTCAGTCAGTCACATTCCTTTCACGGTGACTCACGAGAGCAATCCCTTGCCGCGTTTGTCTTTGAAGCAACAGGGCGCGGCTAAAAAACTTGAAGTATAGGGCATTCATTGAACACGGATTCGACTACGGCCTTTGCAACCATTTGAGCACAAAACACTCATATAGAACTCACCTTAATGCTTAAGTCACCTCCAGTATGATATGACGTAAGATTTAATGTTTGGATGTCGAAACTATTTTTGGAAATTACGATATATGATGTTAAGCTTTCCAAGATTGATAGTTCCTTCCTTTATTGCCAGTAACAGTTAACAATCAGTACGGTCTACGTTTCGGCGAAGATCGCCTTCTTCAAGACCTTCAACAATACTGTGTAGGGTACGCCCACCACTCTGACAACGTGTCAGACCACTACTCGCCGTTTAGTGTGATGGAATCACAGTGGTCTGACACGTTGTCAGAGTGGTGGGCGTACCCTACACAGTATTGTTGAAGGTCTTGAAGAAGGCGATCTTCGCCGAAACGTAGACCGTACTGATTGTTAACTGTTACTGGCAATAAAGAAAGGAACTATCAATCTTGGAAACCTTAACATCATATATCGTAATTGACACTATGCCAAGATTCAGAAATAGTCGAACGTGGAATATTTTTGGGAAATCTTGAGGAATTGAACATGAATTAGAGGTGTGACCAATTTTTGTTTAAGTTCCTTAAAGCTACTTGAAGAGCCTCCAGATGGGTCAGCTTTGGATTTCATCACATATCATCATCACAGCCTCCAGATGGGTCGATCCGAAAGTTCGTGCTTTCGAATCTATCCTCAAATCACTAAGAATGACGATAGACAAACACTATCCTCTTTCCAGCATTAATTTTTTGTTCTGTCCTTTAATGACCGCTCACATAAATGTCAAAATCTCCAGCCTAAAATTTTTTCCCTTACTTCATTTAGCTGTTTTCAATTTTCGTTTTGGAATTTTGCAAGAGCTTCAGTTAAATAGAGTAAAAATGCAAGGCAATGCAATTTCAAAACGTGGCTTTTCAAATTCCTAGAATTACTGTGCATTCAGCCTACAGCGACACGGGCGATTTCGTGCAGTCGACTTTACTCCCTCTTCCCCAAATTTCTGAATGGCTGCAGCAATGCTGCTCTAAGCGAGCGGTGATGCGTACCGGACACAGCATGCCGTCAATGTTTTTCACTTTTCAATGTTCTCAATTAGTTTTCGCTGTTTTTATGAGCGCTCCGCAGGTTTGCCGTAATAGTGTTGCAAATTTGAGAGGAACTTTATTTTCCAAGGTTTGCTGGAGCCACCTTGTGCGAGCATTCACTGTGCTCTTGTGCTCAAATGCTGTTCCATTCTGAGTATGAAGGTGATTTTATGGCGCTTACGGAAAACTTGTTGACGCATTACGATGGGTGGTGGGCGACCAGCGCGCCCCGATGCTCGTAATAGCTTCTCTGGAGATAGCAAAAGTGTGCGTTCGCAATTGCCCTTTGGGGTTCCCCTCTTAAGATAAAATCGGAACGCGACCGGTTATGCGAATTTTGAATGCATCAAGACTTAAAAGCTACTGCGTGAAAAAGGCGAAGAAGAAGTATTTGTTGAGCGGGCGCGAACGCAACGCGCGCGTATGCACACCGTTATAGATCCTGCACCTCATGCGCTCTGCGGATAATAAAGGCGGGTTCGCGCCCAATGGTATTGCGCTTTCTCATGCCGCAGCTATATATGTTTCTTTTTTTCCATCAAGTTGCACTTGATCAAATTTGATTTTGACGCAGTATAGGCAAGTCAATGATCATGGAGGTGTGAACGCATTTCCAAATTGCTACTCGACGGGCTACTTTTCTTAGCGGATGCTCGAAATTAATTTCGTGCCTTAGGGTAGGAACCAGCAGCTTACTGGAGTCATGTTGAATAAAACCCATTCAATCCAATATAAGAATTTTTTCTCAACATATCATATCCTTAAATCCACTGTTTTTTTGTTAACGAGGCAAAATGCCGATGCTGCTTTATTTTCCTCTCCAGACAATATACTATACAGGTCAACCAACAAGAGAAGCTTTGTCTCTTTTTTGGTAATGCACCGCTCGCAAACAGAAGACTGCTAGTGGCAGTATTTTTCGCATTGGTCTATGCTGTCGTAGGCGTTACGATATTTGAAGTTATCTTTCCAAACGTGCTTGCATTGTCGTTCATTGCACATAAATTTCCACCTGTAACAAAGTGATTTCATCTGCGCTTTGATACGACAATGCAGTTTCGTCTCACTTTTTTCCACCTTCCCGGGTCAGATCCTTCGATGACACTAATGCACACATCCCCAGAAGAATCAGGAGCAGTAAGAATTTCATTTTCGTACTAAAAAGGTATATTATCTTTACAAAAAGTGATGCTTTTTTCTAATGAACGCTCTGATGATGTTATATTACAGTGGCGGTGGAAGGGAGACGACGTCTTTGAAAGCTACTTATAAGTCATTCATAAATTTCAAAAATTTATGGAAGTTCAGAATGGCCTTGTAAAAAAAAATTTCCTCGCGAAGTATGGCTGCCGCCACGTTCCTTTTTTTGGTTTTTTGGATATGAGCCACAGCTTGCTGGGAAGCATTCCAAAAAATTTTACGGTGTGCGTGCTAAAGTCACGTACCTTTACTCGAAAAATCCTTTTGCTTCCCCTCCTCCTAACGATAAATGCTGGGGTTGCCACTGATGTGGTACGATGATAATTCTTGACAGCTAAAAAATTGAGCTGCATTTCCATTTTTTGAATTTCCTTTGCGGGTAGAGAAATGCGACAGCGGCTGAGTTTTCTATGACTGAGTAACAATCTAATGTTTTGGCGGTGTAAAGCTCGACTATTCACGGTCACCAATAAAGATCTTACGCTATATCTTTCATGATTTAACGGACTTGCTTTATGAAAAAGCAAAGCGAACTTGCTCCCAAATTCTCAGGTTATGCACAAAAAACTTGCATGGCTTACATATGAATGTACTGTAATGAGATGATGGTATCTTTGGAGCTGAGAAGAGTTGAGTTGAATGAACAATGTGAAAATTCTCTTGGAATGCCTACCTATGAAAAATTGCGGGTATATAAATCAAGCTGCATCTCAATCTCTCAAGCTGTTCAAATATGGTGGAGTTCCTCAAATGTAACTAAGCATTGATTGATAGTCGCTGCATACTCACTTTCGGCACTCTAAGTTTTACCAAGGGATTATCACATATGGTTATAGTATAAAGCGGATCAGTCGTAAATTGGTTTTAGGCTACGGCAAAAGCCAAATTTCGCTAAAGTTTCAAAATTTTGAGAATCTAATCATTGTAATAATCACATCGGCAGCATTTGTATAAAAGCAATTCAGCTTCGACAGTGCCCGCTTGGGACAAGCATGCAGTTTCCATACATATGCAAACAAAATCAGCTTCTTCTTCAACCCTTTCCATTGTTCTATGGATAACAAATAGAAAAGGATAGGGCTTTCAAAAGAGGACTGGAAAAAGTAGTTTTTTGTTGCAAGTCTTGCGTAATTTTAACATAAACCTCTGCGTCGAACAGTTCCTGACAAATATTCTAATTTCACGCGTATAAGACGCACCTTCTTCGGATTTTCAAGAGTGCCGCTCAGCCGCCTCGTTGTGTTTCGGAAAACGAGGCTTATGCCACACGATACCCTCTGGCAATATGCAACAATGTAAAGAGTTTTTTGGTCGCGAAATCCTTCGGCGTGCTGTGCTGTTCGATTTTAGAAAAAACTCCGGCGTCCAATACGCGTGAAATTAGGGCATTTGAATTGGTCTTGCATGTTGCAAATTGGATAATCTTAGGAAACCGCAGCAGATTTTCCCTAGTCTTTGTGTAGCTGTAGCTTGTGCAATGAAGGATCAGCACGAAGGCTCGGCACGAGCTGGAACCAAAAAGTTTTCAAACGGCGAACCTTTATACACCAGGCATAAATCAGTATGACAGTGACAGTATGAGTTTAATGGTGATGACGATGGGATATGTTTTGTTTGAAGAGGACAGGAAACATGTGCTAACATAAGTCGATGGGCATGGAGATAGTCAGCCCTTTGAATTTTTTTCACACAATTATAAAACTCAGTCGTGGAGTAATTCTGAACTCCGCTGACTTTGCAGAGATATACCCTCTCGCTTTTTACACCCAAAACTATATCTAGCTTTTCCCGTAAGCCGTCTGTGCTAGGCCTTTATGATATATGGTGTGTTTCAATTATGTATGCACTTTTTGATTTTGATCGTATCGAAATTTTCTGCATTGTAAGCAGTGTGACAACCCTCCAGCACACAGCATGTTTATAATAGCCACCGTTTCAACAAAAGTTCCAAAAAACCTGACAAATTGTACAAAAGGGTATTCCAGCTGATTTCGCAACTTCACTTTTCAGAAGTTTCAAAAGCCTTTTCAATAAAGTAACTGGATTCTCAAAAAATATAGAAAGGGCAGGTGTAATGATATGCTCAAAAACGAATCAAGGTAAAGTGCAAAATTCATTTCCAAAGTCAGAGACTCTTGTTGACTTAATGCAAGAGTTTCCAAATTGTATTTGCATTCCGAGCAAACTAGGACCCTTACAGTCGCTTCATTTCATATGATCATGTGTGCCATTGCACACACAGTCCACTTTGGCGTCCTCATCCTGGATTTGCAATCGCAAAAACGCAAGAGACTTACCGATTGTTATCGATTACATCAATATGAGGTGACTAGTGACTAAAAAGGAAAGAAAATGCTAAGAACACCTTGGAAACACTTACCCAAAGGCTTGTTTGTCCCACGAATCCAGGATGGGGACGCCAAAGGTGAACTGTGTGTGCAATGACACACATGATCATATGAAATGAAGCGACTGTAAACATCCTTTGAGTTGCTACCGTAAGTTCACATGAGTGAACGTTGATCGGTGATTTAATCTATACTGCCAATCTAGTTTGAAACCCAGCTCCATAGAAAGGTGCCGGCAAAATCCACAATTATCAATACGGCTGGTGCCGCGCCTAAGCCCGTGATTTCAAGATGCCTTATGGAGCTGTGCCGCCGCTATCCGGTTTGGAAATATAATGACAAATCGAATAATGGTTTCGACACAGTGCAGCAACGCGAACGACGCGCGCGGCATCGCAGTTTTTATTTGCTTCATGGACGATGTCTATAATACCAATGTGCATGCACGACATAGGTGGATGGTTGCCACATATTGAGATCTTGCCTCTCTTGCAAGAACACATAACGGTCCTTCTCAGATGACAAAATTCAAAGACTTTATTTTCATTTGGAACATCGAGTATGGAGCTTATTTTACATGCTAATCACAGATGTAGCACTCACACTATAAGACGAGATATCTTTAGTAAATAACCAACAAAAGTGCATGCTTCTTCGCGATTGAACAGTGTTTACATAATTTGAAACATTTTGAATTTCTAGACTGTTCTTGGCGCCATATAATAACCTTTCTAACAGCTTTCTCAAGTGTTGTACGTGTTATGAAAAGTAATCATCTGACTAAAAAGTAAATATAAAAAGTAAATAATCTTCTGGTACATCATTCTTATCTTGTTTGTTCGTAATAGCACATTTTATTTCTGGTGAGTTTCTGGTGACCGTGGCCTTTCAAGTTGTGACATATGTTGTGGCACTAGCCCTGGAAAGTCATCTCAAAACTATGTTTGTTATTTGCGGAAGATTGTTTGAAAAAACCGTATCTCATTTAACGTGTTTGCAATAGAGTAATGTCAACAAGTGCTAAAGGTGTCAAATGGTTTAGCGGTTAGCGCAGTCGTATTGCACGATGGATGTGGTTTGATCTATGTCGGTGCTGTTTTTGCTTTCGCTTGCACGGGCGCTAATTTAAAAATACTGATAACGACATAGTTTCGTGATCATCTTATTTGACGAGTTCCGATAAATAAATTTCAAAGAGCCACGGTAAACAGTTTTTCTTTCCTTGTAAGTAGTAAGTGAGCGATATTGGCATTTGATCAACTTTCCGAAAACTCTTTTCCGAATAGATTTTCACAAATCAGAAGCTATTTCATGCTTTTTAAAAATGGTTTAAACGCGTTTTTAGTTCTATCTGCGAGATCTCGAACTCCCGGAAAAACCATTGCTTCAAGAAATGTTCACATTTGACGAAAACAAAGAAGCTGTATTTGATCAGTCATACTTGAAATATCGCGCTGTATATTCCCCAAATAATTTTTCATTGCTATTGTCGTTCAAACTAATTTGCGTTTCCTTCGTATAAGATCATTGCTTAAATTCGGTACACTCAATATCATGCTAGTCATGCACTCCCATTTAGATTTGAAGCACATTATGCATCATAACTTCAGTGACTTCACATTTTTACCCGCTTATGACTTTTCCAGAGAACGGCATCGCAGTTATGGAAGGTAGATGGATTTGGTAGCTCATGAAGACGCATCCGATATCCGCTTTATTCCAGGTCGGTATCGTTTCATTGTAAGGCAAAAGCTTGTTTATGTTTGTAATCTTCAGAGTATCGCATCTTGTTGACATTATTCCCAGAAACAGAGCTGTTTAGTACAAGAATATGGAAAATTACATGTTTGCGACTTCATCGATCTTTTCAGTTAGCCAGGTTTGCCCCAAATAAGCTTATGTCATAACAAGAGTTCAAAGGGAGCGGTGATTCCTCAAAACGAAACTTGTGCAAAAAGTTCTTGTGATGTAATCTACTGCTTTTTGCCCGCTTGTGACACTGGAACAGTGGGTGTACATAATAATAAGTTGCAAAATGCTAACCTTCTCTCTCACTCACTGAAAACCGCCCATTCAATTACTAGGTAGTCTACAAGCATTTTCTAAAAGTAAAGCATCTGCGTCTTCCCGTTCTTAGGTCTTCATAGCCCCTGAGAGAAAAAGGATTTGGCGATTTGGGGGCGGGCGATTTGCACGACCGTAGTGCTTTCCATACAAGAAGACCGCCAGTGCACTTCTGCGGCTTTTGCACATGCAAAGCACAGGAAAAATTGCCGCGGCGACGCGTTGAATCAACAGGATGGCGCTGAAGACCGGCCGTGCAAAAACGCCGTCTCCCACCTGCAATTCGTGGAAATAGTTTCAAGGTTCTCTCAGCACCGCCCATTCAGAAATTGCTAGCCGTTCTAACATGGCAAGCGCACACGAGACGAATACTGGTATCTGTATCTCGTTGTTGACGAGAGTAAAACTTTTGTCTACGCCTGCCTAGATAGGGTTTCACAAAATGAGATTCCTGGGGCTTTCACTGGCTGCCTAAAGTAGAAAGTTTTGTCAAAGTCATAGCTCTTCATTGCACCAACCTAGTATAGTCGTTTCGTAGAAAAGTTAGTTGATATTTACTTTCTCTTTCACAAAGGAAAGAAAAATACTAAACGGAATTGTGCATTTTTCAATTTTCTCAAAAAGGTACTCATTAACGACCTTAAAATAAGTAACCTTTTATGAATGGAAGTACATACTACAAGCAGACACGCAGCTGTCCCAATTCGAGGGACCTGTTTAGTGCAACCACATCGAAATTTGCTGAGCATTTAATAATTCTGATGTTGTCAGAACATGTCTTTATATCTAGCTATTGTTGGAATCCAATCAGTAGTCGCATTTGAGCTGATCTTGATTACAGAGCAGGTTCGCTTCATCTTTATGTAATCATAATTTTGAATCCTCGTGAAAACCGCTTCGCTTCCCGAGAAGTCTATCATGCCAAATTACAGGCAACACACCTTCCCTTCGAGTCTATACAATCCAGACAAGGTAAAGCAACTAAACTGCTCCTTATATTTTGAAATGCAGATCTGGATTTTTAGCAATCTTTGATCGAGTTGACCCACGCACCGGCGTTTCGGATTGTATTAACAAAGCGGCATTCTGCACCCACCCACTGTATCGGCAAGTAATGTGGGAACAGTGCCCTTTGACTTGTTATAGACTCGCCACACAAAATCCTAATGGAGTTGTGAATCCGACTGTCCCAGTGCATGGTAATGCTGTCTCATTTGATCCCATCATCTCATTCAATTCCCTAGCGGTCAAACCTGTGCCTGTGCAACCCCTCGTGCCAGTTCGTAACGTTAATCCAGCTCATCCCATGCCTATGAATCCTCAAACTGCCAGTTCAGGTGATTGTCAAGTCCGTTAAGTTTATCTATGTCATCGAAGGAATGTAATTGTAGATTGTTCTGATTATGTGAATCCAAAAACTGGAGTGTCGGACTGCATCGGTAGAAAAGCACTATGCAACGATAAGACCTATCGACAACTGATGTGGGAACAATGCCCTCGAACGTGTGGAAAGTGTCCCGACAATTCACCATCTGATGTCAGACCAGGAAATCCAAACCCTGTCAATCCAACTCCAACCCTCAAGCGTACCCGTCAGCGTCCACCCGTCAGCGTAGTCAATCCAACTCCAACCCTCAAGCGTACCCGTCAGCGTCCACCCGTCAGCGTACCAGTTCCAATCGTTCAACAGCCAGAAGTCAACCCAGATCCGATGCCAGTCGTCGGTTCAGTCCCGGCCACATTTATACCACCTGCTCGTCCTGCACCTGCTAATCTATTACCTGCCATACCTGTACCTCTCAGTAATAAACCTACTATCCCCGCACCACAGGCCTTGGTAGCAGTAAGACCTCCACTACCCGTTAAATCTAGTAAGTGAGGTTTAGGTTTATATGCGAAAAGCCTGATTTTCCACTCTGCAGACTGCTGTGACTACGTCAATCCTAAAACCGGAGGGAGCGATTGTGCTCGAACGGTTCACTTGTGCCGGCATCCGAATTACATACAAGTTATGAGGGTTCAATGTCAGAAAACTTGCGGATTCTGCGTTTAACTCGTTTGATTCAAGTTTCTTACGTTCGCCGTCCTCCATTTCCCATACGTCATCTCATCAAAAAGCAGTTTCAATAAAAGTGTTCAACAAAAGTATCAGTTGATTTGTAACGGAAAATGAGGTTGTATCTCAGTGTTCTCTCATTGATCAAAGAATTGTTTTTTTACAGTAGTCTGCACTTCGTAATGGTCATGTCATTAGACAACACATCAAGCGCAAAACTTCTGCCTTCTACAGTCGAATCATTTCATATGATCATGTGTGTCATTGCACACACAGTCCACCTTTGGATTTCCCATCCTGGATTCCTGGAGAAACATCTCTTCATGTAAGTGTTTTTAATGTGTTCTTAACAATTTCTTTCCTTTTTAGGTACTAATCACCTTAAATTGATATAATCGATAACAATCGGTAAGTCTCTTGCGTTTTTGCGATTGCAAGTCCAGGATGAAGACGCCAACGGTGGACGGGGCGTGCAATGACACACATGGTCGTATGAAATGACTCGACCATACCTTCTGCCTGTATTGTTTCGTAGCACTCGCAATACTATCAAACTCTTTATCGGACAATTCTAGTAGCGACCCAACTAAAAGCAAATGTTTTCTTCATTGTGATCAGCGCAGTGTAGACTTCAATATTGCATAGTTGATTCAACTGCAGATGGTGCTGTACATACTTTTGCCTGTCGATAATGGTTTTTCTACGATTAGAGCTTGAAGTAAACGGAACTCTAAAATTTCGCAAAAGTTCTATTTTTCGAGCTGAAAAGGGTGGACATACTTCATAAGGTGCGCTTTTTGGGCAATAAAAATAAAAAAATAAGTTTTGGTTCATACTTTGCAGATGCAGTAAATAACATATACAGTTGTGACAGTGGAATGTGAAAAATTTCGGCGAATTCGCCGAATTCGCCGAATTCGCCAATTTCGCCGATGTCGCCGATGTCGCCGACTTTGCGTCTTTTCGTCATAACTCCCTTCGTTCTCAATGGATTTCAAATTTGAAGGCAGATTTGGATTCAGCTCGCCGAGACGAATTTTTTCATACATTGAACTGCTGTAATCGGCTCTCGGTCACGGTAAGTGCATGGTAGGAATCCGTTGCATCCTGTGGTGGTGTTTTCTAGAGCGTGTATTTCGGCGCATAATGTAGGCAAAAAGTTTAAGAAAAAGAGCGTTTGATGGAAGAGTTTCTGCTGAGTGATTTCAGCAGAAAATCATATCCTTTTTTGTAGTGGAAAAAAGAGAAAGGAGTACGTGAACTTAGTAATTACTAGCTGGCTTACCCGGCTCCGCCGTATGTTCCGAATAGAAAATTCCATTTCTGAACCGATCCGGACCAAACTTGGCACACATACACTTCGGGCCCCGGCGGGTGTCACAGTCCACTTTTCGTTATCGATCGATGTCGATTTTATCGATTTTTTGCAAAATTTGAGCTAGGGCGCTGGAATTTGGCAGAGGGGTGTAATCGAGCATGCTGATCACCCCCACGGGGGTGATCAGCATGCTCGATTACCCCCCTGTGCCAACTCCCAGCCTTGTAGATCCAATTTTGCAAAAAATCGATAAAATCGACATCGATCGATAACGAAAAGTGGACTGTGACACCCGCCGGGGCCCGAAGTGTATGTGTGCCAAGTTTGGTCCGGATCGGTTCAGAAATGGAATTTTCTATTCGGAACATACGGCGGAGCTGGGTAAGCCAGCTAGTAATTACTAAGTTCACGTACTCCTTTCTCTTTTTTCCACTAAAAAAAAGGATATGATTTTCTGCTGGAAACACTCAGCAGAAACTCTTCCATCAAACGCTCTTTTTCTTAAACTTTTTGCCTACATTATGCGCCGAAATACACGCTCTAGAAAACACCACCACAGGATGCAACGGATTCCTACCATGCACTTACCGTGACCGAGAGCCGATTACAGCAGTTCAGTATATGAGAAGATTCGTCTCGGCGAGCTGAATCCAAATCTGCCTTCAAATTTGAAATCCATTGAGAACGAAGGGAGTTATGACGAAAAGACGCAAAGTCGGCGACATCGGCGACATCGGCGAATTCGGCGACATTGGCGAAATTGGCGAAATCGGCGAATTCGGCGAATTCGCCGAAATTTTTCACATTCCACTGTCACAACTGTATCACATGGTAGAAAAAGTACGAGTTCATCTGCTCATCCCGAATCTCCGATTTGAAGCGCTGGTAAAATCGCCATCGTGGTTGGGTAGGTGTGCCTTCACCCACTGCAGAGCTGGTACTATGATATCATTTTTTTTTGATGCGCAAATACTGCTCAAATTTAAGATTGCTTGAAGCCATTGATTTTGCAGTTAAGCAATTATAAAAATTGTCCTTGTAAATAACCTTTCATATTCGGTTGAGCGAGATTAGTGTATTTTTGCATCTATCAAATCTGAAGTTTCTAATCCTTTCTCTTTCTTAATAATGCTGGAGTTACTCTCTAAGTGACCCATTTTTCTCGACGTTACTCATAACGTCACACTGTGTACCTTACACAGTTTGCAGCAGGAAGTTCGTGCGCTGATCGAGCTGCACAAATTGTACTACGGAGATAGAGTGCATTACCAAATCAGATCTCGGCGCCTTGAATTTGTAATTTTGTTCAGAGTGGACTTTTTTTAGAAAAATGGTGCCCTAGGAACTGTTTAAACATCATAATTGTGTGACTTATTAGGGTAAAGATTCTCATTGTAAAAAAAAGCTCATCAAAATGTAACATCGATGAAATAAATTATACTTTGCTTTCCGTGGTTGACAAATTCAAGATTGTGTGGTTGTGTTAAACGCTATTAGCGTGGAGTTTTATGTTTATTCATGTTTTTTTGTTTTTTCTTTGTCGAAAATACATGAAACAAAGTGCCTGTGGCTTTTTTTGCATAACGATCACCTTCAACATCTACGTTGGAAATGAAAATAATTCAACCTCGACCATGTATCATCGTCACATCTACAGTCTGCCCCAATCCCAACCAGGCCAAAATTGGCATGGCGGGAGTCCATGTTACGAGGGTATTGCGTCACGTCTACGGCTAGCTAGTCTGCTCTCTCCTTAATCTATTCGCTCTCTGCGACAGCCTGCGACAGCACGCGACAGCACGAGTGCTCAAAATCAAAGTGATTTTGAACACTCAAATGCCACACAGGCAGTGCTTCTTAGACCTTGATGAAAGGGTTTTGATATGTACTGAAATCCGCAAAACTTGGACCTCTAAATGATTTCCCTGAGAAAACTGCATTGATTTTCTAAGCGCCCCCCTCATTCTCTCAGGTAGCAAACCAAGTGGTAAAAAAAGTAGCCTTTCGAAATCAGGGAAACAAATGACGATTTCTTTTCAACTTATCTATAAAGCTGAATGTGTGTCTGTATGTCTGTCTGTACGTATGTGCGGAATAGAAATTTTTGTTTCTGAACCGATCGGGACCAAACTTGGCACACATATACTTCGGGGCAGGGAGCGTGTCATAGGCTACTTTTCGTTATCGATCGATATCGATTTTATCGATTTTTTGCAAAATTTGAGCTACAGGGCTGGGAGTTGGCACAGGGGGGTAATCGAGCATGCTGATTACAAATATATTATTGACAGGCCAGGGCGGAGCCGGGTTTGCCAACTAGTTTTGTATAAATATACCGCTGAAATCTAATCTTTCAAGAAACTGTCCCGTAATAAAGCTCGATCAGTTCAGGCGCTCTGAACTGAAATCATCAGTCTAGGTTCCGCCAGGTGAAATGACGACCGCCCACCTTCCCATGCTAAAACACGCAAAGTGAACTTAAAGTTGGCCATCCGCCCATCTGCCACATTCATTTGATCCACTTCCACTAGTTCACGTTCAATTGTGACTTAAACTGATGCAAATGTGGAAAAATGAGACAAGAACATTCTCATAAGTCGCTCCTGAGTAACTTACGATGCCCATAGTTTTCCTAACACTGCAAACAAAATCGGCGCAAAACTGCACAATACCGGGGCCCAAAAAGGAGAGGATCGATGAACAGCTAATTTTGGCGTGGAAAACAAGGACACAAATTCATTTTTCTTTTACAACGTTTGCCGAATTTCTTTTTCAAAAAACTGTTCAAGAAAAGTATTCATTGATTTATTTCATTGATTTCGTGGTGCAGTTATTTTATCTTTTCATAGAGTTGTTGTCAAAAAATGTGTTTTTGCTTTATCCATGCATTTGCAAGGCGAAATCCTTGTTAGCGTTCATCATCGATTTTGCAATATTGATCGCTATCGAAGATGTCCGGCGATACGGCAAACGTGTGGCGCTAGCCGGCGTCGTCGAACCATGGCCGCGCGCGTTCAATTCCAATCGCTTACGTGTTCGACCCCGGCTCAAGTGGTTTATTTTCCAAGAATACACATGATTATCATGTCTAGAAAGCGATCCGCATCCAGATCAATAGCTCACTGGATGCTGGACTGAGTTGTCCTAAGTTCAACGTAGGCCGGAACCAGTCGAGTTGCACTGAAGGGGGGGGGAGGGGTTACTGCAGGCCAATATGTACACAAGCTCTAAAATTGAACAGTCACTGCTGCTGATTCCAGATCTGTCTGCAGATTTCAGAATGTCTGCAAATTGCCGTAAATCGTCAAAATTTTGCGCTAGATGCAGTGCGTCAGATGTTTTAAATAAATTTCAAAGTACAGCACACCAACTAAAGACTTACAATGCCATGCAAATTTTGTGGGTATGTAAGAGCATGCGATGTCATGCTTTGTTTCTTTCACGGTCCTGACTCATCTAATTGAGGGCGTGTTCTGGAGTGATGGACTCGAGGAGAGACTGGGAAGCTGGGACGCTGCGCGGCCGCGACCTGGAACTACTCACCTCTGATTGCTGTTTACCCCGCCACCTACGACACCTGACTCCTCGAATGGCATACTGATACAGTCGTATTCATATATCGCCGGCTGTTTCGAGATCTGATAAATCTTTCCACCTTATTACGTGTCCTCTCTGCAAGCGCTGCTCTTACGTAAAAGTGCTCAAGTACTTTTTACAATCTCAAATTTGTCAAAACGTTTTAACCACTGCTCGATCTATAAGTGTGCTATTGAATCAAACCTTCCACCACTCACCCACGGAGGGATAAATCGATAAGAGTGCGTATATCGCAGACAGTCGGGTTCTACCACGATTCTGCATCGTAATCTCGCCGGCAGGCGTCCGAAATCAAAATCAAGGGCTTCTGGAATAGCCCGTTCTCCACATTTTCCTACTCTGCAAGCTGCAGTATCGGAATCAGCGGCAAAAATAAGCCCAGATAAGCGATAAAAATGTTGTTTGAGATTTTGCCCGAACGCTGCCTAAGTACCATTCAGTACAGCAGGTTTTAGCTTAAACTGACTATACCAACCGAATCATCCACCGCTCTTCATTACTGCGGGATCATGATAGAAAGAAAAGAGCTTTGATGGTCACATTTTGCCGCCAGAACAGCTGAGTTCAGACATGTTGTGTTCAGTTTTCAGACATGCTGCATCAGACAAGTTTACGGATTTTTCGGATTATCTAAACGCTTTACTCAGAAACACTGAGAAAATTGTGCTTTTCCTTGCATTCATGAAAAAATTTTCAGGGTAAACTGCGTCTGATCATGGTCAGCGACTCAGTTTATCTTACAAAGCTCTCAGCTTGTTGCGTATTCATTTTGGAACAAAGTGTAGCCATCCCATAGCCAGATCTCTCTTCGATTTTGCTACCGTAATAAAATAATGGAAAGCGTAGGTGGTGCTTCGTACTGTCCATACGTTAAAGCCTGCTCTTCTGCGTGGTAATTGAAGCTAAGCAAAAAACTTTTTGGAAAATTGTTAGCAACTATTGATATTTTGTATCTACCTATTTCAGGACACTCTATGTAATAGTGAAAGACACTAAAGTGAAACATTTGCAGACAGATAGGCTGAGGTGAATTACCAGAGCAGCAGTAGTGGTTCCAGAAACGCTTGCTTTTTTAATTCCTTCCGAAATCAGAGCTATTTAAAGTCTAAAATAATATTTTAGCAAGCACTGATGACTGTTTGGTTTTTAAATTCCTTATAAATTTTGACAAGAGACCTGAAATGTGCTCTCTTCCACAGTTGTTCATTTTCTCACTGAATTTAACAATTGCCATATTTATTCAGAACAATTAGCAGTAACCGCATGTCCTACGACATTGTACAGACATTAGTTGTGTGTAATAGATGTTGTAGCAAAGGTAACTTAAACGTGGACAATCTGACACTCCTGTTTGCCAATGCACTAGATCTGCACACGCTAAAATGACTCACATTTTTAGCGAATAAAAACATAAGAATTGATAATTTCTTGCCTGGAGATGGTGGCGCGGCTGTTGGTGTTCCCGGGCATCTGTTGCATGTCTTAGGACATTGCTGTGTCATAAGGGTGTAGTAAAGGGCGTTGTTGCAGAAGTTTACCATATTGGGACAGTCCGAGGTGCCAGTTCTTGGATTAAGGAGGTCAACACAAGCTGGAATGATCTTATGCTGAGCGACTCTGATGTGCAGTTTTTGTAGAGAGAATATTTGAATAATTACGCGCTGTTGTAGTAGCAGTGGTGGCTATCGCGGTCGTGACATCGTACACCTAGATGAGATCTTCTAAACACTTCAAATCTGGGTTAAAGTGTCTTTTTTTTTCTATCTCCAACTCTAAATTTCACAGATCAATGTCATTATTGCGTACGGTGACCTGACAAAGATTTGCACTAAATTTTGCATTAAGCATGCACGAAACTAGCTATTCAAGCAGATTCTTAATACAGTGAAGATGACGTATGCTACAATAGCGTTCGTAATATTCGCCGAATTTCGCGTCGCATCACCGTATCTACCTTCAGAGCAGACGAATTCTACTCGAGACCATCAGTCAACTTAGCTCGACGACGTACATGCTTGGATAGAATGTCTGTCCTGGTCATAATAGTTGGTCAAATTTTACGAATTTTCTAGATTTTCGCATACGGTAGGCTACTCGTTGTGTAATCAATAGGCACTCTGACCTACTGTGAGCGAAAAGCTAGAAAGATCCGTGAAATTTGACCGATACCCGTGTCCGTACAGGCACTTCTATAAATCAGAAGATACAACTCGTCGGCCTGAGTTGAAAGGTACTTTCGAATTCAGAATTCGTCCACTCTGAAGCAAGATATGGCGATGCGACGCAAACTCGGCTAACTCCGGTGGAGTGCGACGATTTTTCGCAAATCGTAAGAAAAAATACTAGTAGTATTTTTATTATTTCCATTTCAAAAATAATAAAAATACAAGTCGATATTCGTGACCCGCAAAAGTCTTCGAAAATATTGTTTTAGAATTCATATTTTCTCTTACTTTCTTGCAGATATTGACATTTCAGTGAAGAGCTGTACAAGCTTTGACCATCTTGCCATCATCATTATCACACAAAAGAGAAAGTAGACTCGAATCGAATCATACTAAAAAATAGTGAAAATTGTTTTGTCCTTGAAAGGTTTACGGTGTTCTCGAAGAGGATTGTGAATTTATAATTTGGCTATTTGCGACAGCTCATAATTCACAACTATGAATCCAACTTCGAACTCTCGCATAGTGGTCGTACTCTCGCGCACCGAATTAATCAACTATTGATTATTTTTTTATTATTGTGTTTTCGGTCGTCAAGAGTAGATGCTATAAGCTGTTCACTGCTGAATTTATTGCTCAAAACATCGTTAACTCATAAAAAATGACCACTACCCGAAGGGTACCACATCGAAAGCCGGAATCGGGTTTTGTAGGACAAATTCACTAAACTACCCATTACAGTGAAGCCACAGAAAATTTGATGGCGCTCTACTGTGCATTTGTGTTATGCTGCGTTTCGATGAGTTATAACTATTCTGAAATTTATTGATAAAATCCCAAAACCTACTAACTTTTCTACAAAGTACAAAAAAGGTATTATAGTCATTTGACATCGTAAACGGCTTTGTAAAAGATGCTGATGCTTCTAACACTTTGCAAGAGTGTGTAAAGTAAAAATTTACCGACGTGAATTTTAAACCACTTTTTTTTTGCTTTTCTATTTAATGATATCAGAATTTTTATCGTAATCTATTAGGTTGTCTCATAGTTAATGCACGTTTTTCTAACCTCTTTTTGAAAGAGCTGATTTTCAAAAAAAAAACATTTTTTTTCAGGACCCTTTACAGTGTCGGAAAGCCCGATTTCTCTAGTTTCTAAAATGTGCTTTCGTTTTCTCAAATCTTTGTTGAAGCCGAAGTTCCATGCATTCAAAGACAAGTGATTAAAATTTGAAATTCTTTGCCTTCACTATCCTTGCTCTAGATCTATGAAAAGTAAACGGAATTTCTTTAGAAAATATGCGTAACGATCGCGAAGCTTTGTGCTACAGAAAGCTTGTCTGTATGGGATTTTCGAAAAATTCCGAGCTGTGGAATCTTGTCTCAAACTTGGCTGGTCGCTGAGGCCCATTTAAGCTGCATAAAAAATCTCAAGAATAAAGCGACTGTATGTATTTTGCTATGTGCACGTAGAATGGACCCACTACAACTAATGCTAGAAAAAACGCAGCATTTCATCGTCTTTTCGGAAAGAAAAAATTCAAAAAATCCCAAAAAGGCAGTTTTTTTGATCTTCTAAAATATTGAAAAAATGGGTGCTTCCAGTTTTTTTTTTGCAAAATTTTCTCACAGAAATATGCCGTAAAATTCAAACTTCACTCCACTGCACAACCGACCATCGGCTATGAGCAAAGTCCGCTCGATCCTAGTACATTTGAGCGAAAGTTAAGCTCTCTCAAAGTACAACTGAGCTCATAACTCGGGTGGAAAAAACGGGGTGCGGCGTATTATCCGCGGCGCAACCGTCGGAAGGTCATAACTCCGTTCAAAATCATTTTTACAGGTTTTTCTCCTCATTTTTGGAAAGCTACTGACACAAGGAATCAGAAAAATATAAAATTTTCCAAAATCGCATGCTCTCAAGAGAATCAGCACTATCGCGACGGAATTGCCAAAGACAAAACCGTCGCATGGTCGTAACTCGATTTAAAATAGGAATTTCGGATTTCTGGCTATATTTTTGAAATGACGACATCATAGTGGTTGGAAAGACATAACAATTTTTGAAAATACACTTTTTTGGAAGATTTTAGCAGGTTTGCGATAGAAAAATCGCGACGAAACCGTCGCAATCGCATAACAACTTGAAAAAATAATTTTTTTGACTTTTTGTTCTAGTTTAAGTTTTCTGACGTTGCGACGATTTCCAGCATATAAGATCTTTGAGAAAAAATCTTATCCTTCGTGGGTTTTGTGAAGCTGCGACGGAATAATCGTGACGAAACCGTCGCATTGCGTTTGCGGTCCTGAAAGTGATCTTTTTTTTATTCTAACTTCAATATCAGAATCCAGGATATTCGCTGACTCCATCAACTTGTGTTTACAACAAAATGGCTCTCCGTGGAGAGATTGGAGTGCGATGCGACGGTGATATACGCATTTGAGCGTCGTGCACTCATAACCTCAGGCAAGTGCACAAATATCTCAATTGTTCACTGAATTCGATTGTATATGAAAAAAAGATAAGCAAAGGTGAGTTTTTTGTTCTTCTATTCTGATATTGAAGTTAGAATAAAAAAAAGATCACTTTCAGGACCGCAAACGCAATGCGACGGTTTCGTCACGATTATTCCGTCGCAGCTTCACAAAACCCACGAAGGATAAGATTTTTTCTCAAAGATCTTATATGCTGGAAATCGTCGCAACGTCAGAAAACTTAAACTAGAACAAAAGGTCAAAAAAATTATTTTTTCAAGTTGTTGTGCGATTGCGACGGTTTCGTCGCGATTTTTCTATCGCAAATCTGCTAAAATCTTCCAAAAAAGTGTATTTTCAAAAATTGTTGTCTTTCCAACCACTATGATGTCGTCATTTCAAAAATACAGCCAGAAATCCGAAATTCCTATTTTAAATCGAGTTACGACCATGCGACGGTTTTGTCTTTGGCAATTCCGTCGCGATAGTGCTGATTCTCTTGAGAGCATGCGATTTTGGAAAATTTTATATTTTTCTGATTCCTTGTGTCAGTAGCTTTCCAAAAATGAGGAGAAAAACCTGTAAAAATGATTTTGAACGGAGTTATGACCTTCCGACGGTTGCGCCGCGGATAATACGCCGCACCCCGTTTTTTCCACCCGAGTTATGAGCTCAGTTGTATAGGTTTCTAAAAAAATTTTCGGGAATTTTTTAGGCTATAAAGTCTTTCTTAAAGTGGCTGCGATCCAACAAAAGCATGCATTCTACAGTCAAAGGTTTGTTGTTCGCAGTAGTTTTTTTGCGCTTAAAAAGATGGTTTGGGAAAAGAGTTATCTTAATTAGAATTTGAAATTCATAAAACGTGCATTGATTATGAGACAACCCAATATACTGGAAACTGACAGTTGATCCACGGTGAGAATTTATTAGTCGGTTCTCTACCGTTATCCTTAAGAAATTCAAAAAGAGATAAACAAATTTAACATTCTTGATGTGGCTTACATTCCAGTAATACTTCAGAGTAAAACCCCTTACCATGCTGCTATTGCAGCACATTTCTCCTCTTGGTGAATTGATGCAGGTGTAACCAGTTGGGCAAACCCCATTGGGACATGCTGAAATACGTTTACATCAATCGAATAAGTTGAGATCGTTTTTTTCAAAATCTAATCGTTCTTCCCGGTTAAACGTTCGCTCGTCAGTATGCTTCGATTTTAGTTATGACTTCATACTTTTCAAGCAAAATTCCTTACAATATCTTTACCATTCCCATGCTATCGCTCAATAAATAATGCGTCTATCGGCTTTAACTAAGGCAGGCTATGTTTATTCCTTTGTTCTGATAAACTGTTCTTAGATGAAAACTGTTCTTACGAAGTCTCAAAAAAACGCAAATCTACTAGCAATTACGGTCACGATAAAATCATACAGATTTCATGTTTATATACATTTGCCCCTCCATAATCAGCAGCTTTGTAGTTTCGAGAATTACTTACGCGAAGCTTCCGGGCTTGCAGCTGGGTCGGAACACTCCTGCAGTTGTTGGCATAAAGTGCCGTAGACAGAAAGCAATAAGAGAACAAAAGAAAAAGCAAACATTGCTCCAAATGCTTGTTCTTAGCAAATTTTGCACAATTTATACACTGTTGCCTTCGGTTTTCAGCTATGTCAACAATTATCCTCTGCAGTTTCATTTTTCTTTGAGCGTCTACAATCTAATCAAATAGTCGAAGTCCGATATGGAGGATAACGTTACGAAATCAAGATCTCGATCAGTATTGTCATAGCTCTTCTGTTGCTATCAGTTGTAAACCCGCTTACAACAAAATACGATGAGATTTACTAGTTTTGCTGCCGTAAAAAAATTTCAAAGTGCTGTCAATTTGTGTACCACATCTAAGCCGAGACTGACACAACTTGAAATTGGAAATTGTCAGTTTCCAGACGAAAATATCCTCTCAGTAGTAATAAAGCACGTTTTTCTCTTTTCGCAAAAGACTTTCGGTAATCAGCAATTGCTGCCATGAGAGCAGAATTTTTAGCGCTTTGGAAATAAAACACCCTTAAAAATTTGCACAAATGATAAGTTAGAACACTTCTCGTATTTAAATTCAAAATTACCCAAAATCTCACCTTAGCTACCGAACATCGTAGTATATAACGGAAAAATCGCTCTTTATGAACCCAATATTCTCATATGAGAAACTGTCATGAAAAATCGAATGTCAGCCATGCAGGGTGTCCAAAAAATGTGCTTGCTAGATTTTTGATAACCTTTTGCAGACTTTCTCAGCTCTTAAGGTACGGTTGTGTGAGTTCTGTCCTGTTGCGGCTCGGTGGGCTCTGCGCCCCCTCACCTAGTGCTCGACTGCCTTGCGTCCAGCTCCTGTCCCCGAAGGACTTCCGCAGCTGCGGGTGGGCCCAGCCCACAACGGCGCGTTACGCCTACACGAACACGAGACAAATAACATACATAAAATTTACTAAATAAATATGCGCGACAAAAATATACGATATAAACAAATGTAAATATACATACCACGGGGAGAGTTAAGCTCTACCCCGGGCTACCGATGGGGACTCTAACTTACTCACACTCACACACTAGCACACTCACACACTCTCCCGGAATCCAAGGGAGCTACCCACAGGCCGGCCGCGCGCCGCCAAGGCAGCAGCTACGGCACGGCAACACCGGCCCCATGATGTTAACCAACAGCATCAAACCAAGCTCCCAACGAATCCTGCGCGACCAAGGTGCTTCATGATGTTCATCATCCTGGAATTCTATCCTCGCGCGTACATCCAAACAATCCATCAGCGATCCATCCAATCGCGCGAGGCACGGGGACGTAGACACGACGGCGATATCGTGGAAACCCAACCGATCAATAACAAAGGCGGCACGACGACAATAGTAAGATGATAAGACGAGAGAGGCCGCACTGGCGCGCGTACGCGCTATTTATAGCGGTGGCTGGGGGCGTGCCTACATGGTGTGGTCTCGGAGCGAACAAGGTAGCCGCCGTAAAAGCGGCGACCGTGCCCACGACCGAGACGCGCGGCAACACGGTGCTCCCGGCCACATGCTGTGAGGAGCGGTCGATCGCGAGCCGCGACACTCCCCCCCACAACGAAAGGCATTGGGCGTTGCGAATAGGTGGTTACGTGATAGCACCGTGACCTGGGGCAACTGCCTTAACCTAAAAAATTTGGACGATGATAGAAAAAAAAGGAACATACGGCATCGGTAGCGAGGGAACAGGCAACAACCCGCCCCGTGGTAAAACACAAAAAATAAACACAAACTACAGGCGCTTCGACGCGCAGATCACTACTAGAATAAACCGGAGCGCTCAAGGCGCTTACCAAATAAATATGAACAATGATTAAGAATACTTCTACAGCTACTAAACTATGTACAACGTTTCAGGATAGACGCTCCAGCCCATAGCATCATCATCGCTCCATCTCGCCATCTCACCATCCATCTCGACCAGCGCTGATCTTACTGCGCATCCAAACCGCATTACGTCCCTCGTACCATCACATCTAACCACTCTAAATACACTCGTACGTTCAACATCGAGGGAGCGTAATGCCCGAAACGAAACCTACCGCCCTGCGAACCTATATGACGCGCGTCCTGGAACGCACACCCTGAAACAAAGGAAACCTCCACCCTCTCTTAATTTTGGATTAATTTACGATAAAAAGCACAAGATAAAGCAATGAACTGAGAGGGTGTTGGCTTCCAGACGAAAAAAGTACTACGTCTTTCCAGAAACATCCCCAAATTTGCGCATCTAGCACCCATCCGGACCGAATTGGACGAAGGTCCAGCCTCCCGCCGAGGACAAAATGCCTCGACGAGGGGATCGACCCCGCAACTCAAGGACCCGGGGGTGCAGCACTGTGGGTCTGTTCAAGGAAAGACGGCCCAACCTATAGAGCAGATGTTACAGGAGCCTGATGGACTGCTCGCAATGGCTCTATGGTCGGGACTCAAGGCAATAAGACGGCGCGTCCTGGGACGGCTGCAACTTCCTAAAGTAGACTATACCGCTAGGCTGCTCGACCGAGTAGCAACAATAAACAAATTAGAATAATTAGCGGAACATTTGAATGATGTTAACGCGCTACTACAATAGGAAGTATAATTGGTAGGGAGCCGACGAACTAAGATGTTACGCGGGACTTTACATGGCGCGATGGATGTTAACGCGCTCCACAAGTGCGCCAGATGGTGTTAGCTAGTGGCAGTGGCGTACCCAGGATTTCGGCTCGGGGGGGGGCGCGACAAAAATTTTTTTTCGATGAAGGTGCGTGGCGTTAGCCACGCACTCCGAAAAAATTTCTGTAGGACTTCTCAACAATTCTGCGGGCCCCCAACCCCTAAAATCTGGAAAAAGGGGGCGTGGCGTCAGCCACGCCCCCGAAAAAAATTTTTTTATAAGGCTAATTTGAATTTTTAAAAAATTTTAAAAATTATTTTAATTGTTTACAAAAATAAACAAGTCATTTGCACATTTTTATAACGCATGTAAGTAACTTTCAAAAATTTCGCGACCCGTTCTCGGGGGGGGGCGCGCGCCCCCCCCCGCCCCCCCCCCCCTCGGTACGCCACTGGCTAGTGGGCTAACTAGCGCGGCAGCTCTTACACGGTGAGTAGGCAAAGTATAAAAATAAAATTTAGAGGCGCGACAGTCACAAGGATGTTACAATGTGAAAATTGACTGACGCGCAGATGCAAAACATTAGTAAATTTAGGAGTATAAACTGTAAAAAAGGAAAATTCAAAACAAAATTTAAAATTAGTGTTGCCTACTAGTACCGTTCGAGTCCGCAGTATCACCCGGTTGCGCGTCCGTCTGCGCGTCCTGTGGATTTGCCATGGGTACTCGTCCACGAACTTCCATCAACTCCCGCGAGATGTCGTCTTCGGACTCGCACGTCGAGATTCCTATTCCCAGCTCGCCGTTGGTGCCATCATCCTCAAAACAGATCATCGTCACGAGGTATCCTAAGCTGATTAACGGCGCTTCTGCGCAGTAAGACTTCCCTCTAGACCTTCCGACGATGAATCCACCGGCATGAGCATGATTAATACTCAGCGCGACGACTAAATGATGTTACGTACTTGACCCACGTACTTAGCGCGTTACGCTAAGTATATAGACGCGCAAACTGAGTATAACCATGTTCAAATGTTGGAATATGAGCCAAGCTGCTGAGGAAGACGCTACAGCGAGTGCGGGAGTAGGTGCTACCCGCAGGACCATTCAAATATTCGTCAAAGTCAGGTTACGCTGCATACCGAGTGTGCGCAAATAGGGGATGGAACAACGACACAACAAAACAGTAATGCAGACAAGAAGTAAGTCCGAATATAAGCCAATCCAAGAAAAAAGGGATGAATCCGACAAAGCAACGGCGAAAGCCGCGCGTATAACACAGCCGATGTTACTGGCTACAGGTGCCTGACAAAGCGTCCACAGACAGGGTAATATAAACGTGTCTACGGACCGCGCGTCAGGTAAGTCTGAATCCAGAAAAGAAATGCACTCAAGGGACATGCTCACGACGCACCACAGTTGGTCGCAGTTACACTAGCTGGTCAGGCAAGTTAAACATACGAACAAGATGGTAACAACTGTGAATACTAGCCCTAAGCGCAACGATTGAGCCAAGCTACTACGGGCAAAAAGTATCTGTGAAGCACGGTTGGCGCGATATCTCGTCGAACGACGATACAACTCAAAAATACGACGACGCCAACGTAGGTGGTAAATGAGTACTTCACTAGCCAAAGATCTAATCAAGTAAACTTGGCATGAGTGCAGAAGTAAAGAGTGCAGATGGAGCGCACAACGGGAACAGAGGCGCGATACTCTAAAGGTACTCACGCGCAAGAAGAAGCCTATAGATGGAATAGGCAATGAGGAAAAATCTACACTGCGCCAACAGAAGATAACATACTACAAAAGGCGCGCTTACAAGATATAACATAAGGAATACCAGGATTGACGCGCAGTACAAGAGATATCCAAAAGTGCGTAGATCATGCTAGCACACAGACGATGTACTGAACGCGCGTAAAGAAAGAGCCGAGTTTAAGTCAAAGCCGAGTGAATGATAGTCTTGCAGGTAGCCAAGGATCAAACAAAAATTACAACTACGCAGAGCACTTACAGGAACAACTGCAGGGATACAGAATGGACCCAAGATGGAACGTGCAGAAGGTTCTGCAATAAGCAAGGGGATGTTGATAAGCTCACGGCTCGCGAAGTTGCAAGAAAAGCAAAAATACTGACTTGGCTAGGACACAGGCTGCAATGCGGTAGACAATAGCAACTGTAAAGATGGAACAAGTTCGCTATACACCAAGGATAGAATACTCAGCGAGAAGTACAGAATCTACTGCCTAACCGACGCTCTAAGGCCAAAGGAGACGAAGTTTGCGCGAAATGAGCAGTTGGGTCGCGCGTTCACCAGAATTACAAAAACGTAAAAAGGGGGCTATGGTTGCTTATTGCGTCGACAACAACAAACAAGACATAGGAAATAAGGGAAGAAGCGCAAAGGATCTGATGGTCGATCAATATGCACAAGAAGGTGGGGTACACGCCGCCTAAAGTGCGCGCTCGACAACAATCGTTTCAGGACCCAACTGAAGAAAAAGTGGGGAAATAAGGGACAAAAATTACGAAAAGAAGGGCATTCCGCCGCAAAAACACAACATCTGGCCTGATAGTAAAAACAGAGCGTAAAGCTCGACAACGGCCTGGTACCAGACAAATCAGAACAAAAAAAGAAGGAAAACAAAGGCTCGGTACCTAGATGGAAAACGGTAAGGAATTCTGCCTGTTTCCAATGGCTCTCTCTGTCGTACTATCCGTCGTGTGACCAACGAAATCGAAGATGGACCATGCCTGAACGAAGCGCGGCGCGCTAGGGGGCAACAATCACACCCATCGGTAACCTAAAGAGAATAATAATTATAAATAGAAAAAACACAGAACACACTCCCTACTACCCATAGCAACGAATAACCCTACTAGACCCTTCCAACTTACCCAACCTACTCCATCACAGAAGGAAAAACAAAAAAGAAAAGTGTAGTACGTAACCGTGGGGGTAACCAAAGGACGTAAGGCAAACAGAGCATGAATAACGACAGAGTGTCACTGAAGAGCCTGCGCGGCACTAAGTGGCGCGCGTATAACAAGGTACGGGAAAGGTTATCCTGTCGGAGGCCGGTCTGGAAACTGCTCAGGGCTCCTGTCGGCGAACGGAGAGGCCATCACTGATGACCCGTGAGCACTTGGACCATATCCTGCTTAAAACCGTGCTTTACGCCAATTGCCGTCTGTCGTCGTCATCCTGCTGATGGTACCTTCCAGCGTCTTGCTCGGCAACTCCTATCCTTCTAGCACGGCTGCTCTCCGCTTTGTACTAGGGGTGGTGGGCGAACTAAAGGGGCAAAGCCTCAAGGGCCCAAGTGCGCTTATTGCACCAAAGAGGCTAACCATACGGCCCCATGTAGCACTACGCCGGGGATAGAGGTCACTACGGGTCACAATTGGGCCAATCTTATACTACGGACTAAACTACTAAACTAAACTACGGACTGATTAAACTACGGGGACAAACTAATACCGGTTGTAGGGAAAACTAAACTACAGTAGAGCGAAGAAAAGAGGTGGTGTGATAGAAAAACTAACAAGGTACGGATCCCGGGAACCCCTAGTACCAATCCAAACCCATACCCAGCCCAAACTCAAATCTACCTAAAAAACAGAAAAATACAAAAGCCATAGAACACAAAATACTAACTATAAAACCCCAGCTTACATAAAAGAACCCGAATCCCGTCTCCCCGGCTATGGTCCAAGCTCCTATATGTGAATATAGGACGGTGTCGATCCCCAGCTGCGGTTCTTCGCGCGTCTTGATACTGCTCCACCTTCACGCGTCCACCGATACAGCTCTACGCAGCTCCATACCCCTCTCTTTGTCGCTCCTCCTGTCCATCGCTCGTCCTTCGCCTTCGAACTAGCGCGTACAACGATACAGTACTGAAACGCGTTCGACGATACAACACTAGTACACGTACGACGATACGATACTGAAGCGTGTTCAACGACACAATACTACATACGCGTGCAACGATACAGCTCTAAATCGCGCTCCTTGACTTCCATCCGTCCGTCTTCGCACTGTCCATCTCCATGCCAGTTTCCCACTCGAACAACAATCCGACATCAAAACTCTCCTGGCGCGTACTCCGGTACAGCTCTCTCGCGTCCTCCGATACAATTCAAAATGCGCGTACAACGATACAACTCTTCTTCGCGCCTCCACGATCTTGACTTCTGCGCGCAACGTGCTCAACGATACAACACTAAATGCACGTACAACAATACAACTCAGGCGCGCTCGCGATCGTCCTATCCTCCGTCTTCCTCTTCATCCTCCTTCCATCCGGCATCCATCTTCCATCCATCGTGCTCCTTCGAGGCGTCCATCTGTCAACTATTCATATACTGCTTCCCCCAATCCTTCGTCCAAATCCCGAAGACTCGACATGTGCGGCCGCTGGTACTCTCCGGTACCCCCTATCGAGCCCGCCGACTACGAAACCGGCCCTCCACCTGGGCAGTACTTTCCAAGCGCGACAGGCTTACCAGGTATCGCGTGACGTGGGCGCTCGATCGATTGGGGTTCTAGTTGGCAAGTTGCCACAGTCTTCCCGACTATCCCCCCGCGCTGGCACGCCATGCTTCGCACCCTGGCTACCTTCCGGCACTCTTGTTACTGGCTACGTAGGTATTCAACTCTGCCTCTCTGTTTGCCAGGACTTCCTACTGGGACGCTGAGCGTGGTAGCTTCGGGCTCGTTACGCACGCATGATGGATGGGATAGCGCGTTCCTTCAACAACGTAACAACGACGCGACACACCGATGACACACGACTCTGCTCCAACTTGCGCGACTAACCCATCCGCGGGCGGCGACGCCATCCACCATGCGCTCGGCATCGATGCACCATGTTGCGGCTCGGTGGGCTCTGCGCCCTCTCACCTAGTGCTCGACTGCCTTGCGTCCAGCTCCTGTCCCCGAAGGACTTCCGCAGCTGCGGGTGGGCCCAGCCCACAACGGCGCGTTACGCCTACACGAACACGAGACAAATAACATACATAAAATTTACTAAATAAATATGCGCGACAAAAATATACGATATAAACAAATGTAAATATACATACCACGGGGAGAGTTAAGCTCTACCCCGGGCTACCGATGGGGACTCTAACTTACTCACACTCACACACTAGCACACTCACACACTCTCCCGGAATCCAAGGGAGCTACCCACAGGCCGGCCGCGCGCCGCCAAGGCAGCAGCTACGGCACGGCAACACCGACCCCATGATGTTAACCAACAGCATCAAACCAAGCTCCCAACGAATCCTGCGCGACCAAGGCGCTTCATGATGTTCATCATCCTGGAATTCTATCCTCGCGCGTACATCCAAACAATCCATCAGCGATCCATCCAATCGCGCGAGGCACGGGGACGTAGACACGACGGCGATATCGTGGAAACCCAACCGATCAATAACAAAGGCGGCACGACGACAATAGTAAGATGATAAGACGAGAGAGGCCGCACTGGCGCGCGTACGCGCTATTTATAGCGGTGGCTGGGGGCGTGCCTACATGGTGTGGTCTCGGAGCGAACAAGGTAGCCGCCGTAAAGCGCGGCGACCGTGCCCACGACCGAGACGCGCGGCAACACGGTGCTCCCGGCCACATGCTGTGAGGAGCGGTCGATCGCGAGCCGCGACATGTCCCATTTTTTCTTTCGATTTTTTATGAATAAAAATCGCCCTATATTAAATAAAGTGTATATGCTTCTGTAAGGTCTAAGTAAGTCTGCTCTGCGAATTAGTATGTTTCATCCCCCAACTTAGCAGAATATTGAAAACGATTATTCGCATTAGAAGAAAAAATCCGAAGAGACAAAAAATTAATTTTTGACATCTTTTTCCTCTCCAATTTCCCCGTTTTCCATTGGTAATTTTTATTCAAAAAGCTTGAAAACAAACAAACATTCTATTTGATACTTATGGTTGCAATGGCATTGTTTGTGCTTGATTCCTTCGTTGTACCGACTTTCTGATGCCCTTTTTTTCAGAAGTGGGCAAAGCAAAATTGCTGCGACCTGTCCGTCGCCTTGCCTACCTAAGCTGTGTGTCCCCCAAACATTGAATTTTTGAGTAACTAACTCTTGAATTTGATGATTTTATAGCCAAAAAGGTCTCCACTACTGCTTTTTCTGATTATCTGTCTACCGTCCTTTCTCAAGACTGCCTTCAGATGCCCATCAACATTGAAAACGTTAGAAAGAAGACTTTTTCTGAGTTTGAAGGAAAAATTTTTGGAAACTTTTCTGCACTTTTGAACCTCTGCAGAAACTATAGCATCCTTTCCTTACGTTCGGCAGATTTTTCGAGTTGTTTTGTAAGCATTTTGACCTAAATGGGGGTGACTCAGATTAGTCGTCAAAAAATGGATTTTTTCCTTATTGGTTTTTCAAACTTGATGCTGAGAAACTTATCAAATTCCATTGATGAAGGAAAGTGAAATAAAGATTTTGGTAGAGCAGATTTAGAGCTTTCAAATGCATATATAAATCTTGCAAATTATCTTGCAAGATACTATGAAAAACGAAAGAACATGAGACAGAATTAATTACGCCACCTTATTTTGTAATGCTGGCTTCACCTTAGATATCTAAAACGAATTACCTATCATTCATTACTGTACCATTACGGTTGGACCGGCATACAACGCCTTCGTGGGTTAGGTCGCTTGAAAGAAATAGTCCATGAAATACCTAAAAGTTGTGTACGAATTGCTTACTTGCTTTCAGTACTCCACTGTTTAAGAGTTTATTTCAAGCTTTTTGAATGTGTGGACATATTTTTTAATTAAAAAAAAGGTTGCTACGGTATAACTGACATAACATGTAGAAGATGCATCAAGTGTAGAATTTGTATTTTAAATTGGCGACACTGATTAGCATGAGTTAACAACTTCCCGTCTAGGTTTTTCTTTTATAGTCAAGACTTAGTCTTCAGAGGATCAAAACTCTCCAAGGTTTCTAGCGTAACTTCCCAATAGTTATGCGGTGTAATTCATTCCACCATAAATTTAAATTGAAGCGAACTTTGCAAGATGATATTTTAAGAGTGGAGGAAGACAATGAAGAAAGGAAACAAATAGTAGGGACATTCTTCTGGGATACTTTGATGTGTGTGTGTGATTGATTTGTTACAAAAATCAATTTCCAAATTAATCATTGAAAGTATTATTTCTTTACTCGAAGCTTATACCTGTCAACCCCTTTGACTGTAAATTTGTGTCGGAATTAGCATTACTTAAAATCACTGATGACAACAATGTAAATAAAATTTTTTCTGGTATAAGTACGAAGGTGCCGCACTTCCAATACAATGTCGCGTTTATAGGACCGCACGGCACAAGAAATAATGAATTCAATCTTTATACATGGACCAGATGCTTCAAACAGAGCTAGTATGTAAAAGTTTGAGCCAGAGCTCAATCGGAGCAATCCGAAAAAGTTATAGCAATAGTGGCACCATTGAGTGGTGCTTAGCTCATTGTACATTTCCTCACAGAATACACAAAATGCCATATTTATTTCAAAAAGGTTAGCAGTAACCGCATGTCTTAGGACACTGTTGATGCATTGTATCTTTGTAAAGTGGGTAAAGTTGGTTGTTGCAAAGGTAACTTAAGCGTGAGCAATCTGATGCTCCTGTGTTCGGATTCACTCGATCTACACACCCTAAAATGATACACATTCCAGTTACTGAAAGCATAGACAGAATAGCACAGCTCACCCAAATGAGGATTCTGAGATTTTGCTGTTGTATAGTAGCGGATTCGCTAACTAGTAATCGCCCAACGTTGCAAAAGATAAATTCCGAAGCAAGGAAATCACTCTAGAGAGTAAATCGAAAGCTTATAACCATATGAAGGGCGATTTATGACACCAATACATACGCTAAAGCTATCTTGGAATTTTTATCTGGAGGCCATTCACATTAATGGGCGGATTCACTTCGACCGCTTTTACCTTTCAGAGCGTCTTTTTCGCTTCGGAATTCATTTTTTGCAAAGAGACTTGCTCGCTATCATAAAGCTCAATTCTCATTACCCTCAATGTGGGGAAAGGTGCTTCAGTAATTCAATGCCTGTTGGCGTACCACATCTGCCGCATGTCTTAGGACATTGCACTGTCATAAGGTTGTAGTAGATGGCGTTGTTACAGAAGTTTACCATATTGGGACAGTCCGAGATGCCAGTGTTTGGATTAAGGCGGTCAACACAAGCTAAAATGATGTTATGCGCAATAACGCAATTCACATACGCAGCTTTTGTAAAGAAAAAAAATTAAACAAATTACGCGCGGTTGTTGTAGTTGTAGTAGTTGTAGTGGTAGTTGTTGTTGTTGTTACATCGTAAACCTATATGAAGCCTTTAGACATTTCAAATTCAGGAAATATTCATTTTTACATTTTTATTCTTTTCATTTATTTTCAATTTTGAAATTTTAAATTTCGATTTCCATACCCAATCCTAGTATTTCTACCTCTACCTTCTAATTAAACAGGTTTGCTTTACTGTATATGAGATACTAAATGAGAAACGATCTTTTTGAACCGCCGATCATAGCGGCGCGCCTCTGACTGATTGGTTAGGCCAGCTATGATTGGCCAATTTCCAGCAAGGCGGAGCAAGAAGGGGGAGGACCGAACGAGTTAAGACTCAAACATGCTCTTTCACTTTTCTACATACATTATGTTCAACTGTGACAGTTGTTGGCACAGATGCATAAAACGCTTCAAGCCATGATGCATCTCCTTGGATCATGCTATGTTAACTCGTCCACTTCTTAGTCTCGTAGCACGAGAAATTGGATTGCGCGCGAATGGTTTAAAAGGGCTCACATCCGTTATCTGTGATGATGTAATGCCAGTAAACTCTTGAAAAAAAATTCGCTAAAATTGCAGCGACGTGTGCTAATGCCTTAAAGGCAGCGTCCAGGCAGATTTGGACATATTCGGATATATATCAGTTGAATCCTTCACCATTTACTGTAGCATCATTGAGATTATTGAGAAAATAGATTTCGAGTTTTAAAGAACGGTGAATTGCTTGGATTAGAATGCATCATTGTATTTCCTACAGTAATACCATTTCTTACCTTGGTGCTGTCGCAACACATCTCTCCTCTCAGTGAGTTTATGCAACTTTGACCATCTGGGCACAAACCCATAACACATGCTAAATACATCTTTATCAAGAGATAGGTTAATTGGTCTTGAAAAGTTTCAATCCCTTTGAACATTGTCAGTAAACTTTAATTGCAGCCAGAACGGCGACAAAAAACTCCTTGCAATTTCTTTACCATACCCATGCAGCTTAACATTTATCGCCCCATAGGGACGCGCCATACTTCATCCGCTTAATCCGCTTCATCCACTTCGCTATTGGTCAATGCTGATTTGACCAATAGCGAAGTTGAAGAAGCGGATGAAGCCGATCAAGTATGGCGCGTGCCATAGTGTCAAACTAATTTAAGCTATGTTTCTTCCTCGTTCTGGTGAAAATCGCTGTTACAAACTTTTCAAAAAGTGTGCATGTGTGTTTTGATCTAACAAGATTACGGTAGAGATGATACCGTATACTCAATTCCATTTTTACATACATTTTCCTTTCATAAATGCCAGCTTTGTAACTCTAAAGAATTACTTACGCGAAGCTTCCGGGCTTGCAGCTGGATCGGAACACTCCTGCAGTTGTTGGGCTAAAGTCCCACAGAGAGAAAGCAATGAGAGTGCAACAAAAGGGGCAATCATTGTTCCAAATGCTTGTTCTTAGCGATTTTTTCACATTTTATACAGTGCTGCCTTCGCTTTCCAGCTATGTCAACAACTGTCCTCAGCAATTTCAATTTTCTGTATCTATAGATTAATGAAATCCACAAAGTTTAAATGGAAACGAAATCAAAGTTTCGGTTTACCTTTTGTGTTAGCACTTGCAGTATCTGCGCACATGAGATGCGCTTATTCTGATTGTCAGTTCTAGCGAGAAAACATATATGCAGTTTATTTTCTACTCTGGGAAAATCTTTGAAGCTAACTCATCAGATTTATAGCCCTTTGAGGTGAGCCTCGGACGCAGACTATCGTAATTTGCTCAAACTTTTTTAGATAGAAGCATTGCTAAGCTAGATCTTTCTTATCTCTCTTTTTGATTTCTCTAACCAACAGTTACCAACAGATGGAGCTCCACTACTTCAAAAGCAATATATCCATAAAAATTCGATCAATGTGTGTCTATTACAGCTTTAGTACACCTACGTAAAACCACAAAAAAGAGGTGTATATCACTAACTCTTCAAAACAAAACTTGTCTGCTTCCCTATTATGCGAAACATATCTCCGAAAGGTGTTATGAGCGTTTGAAATCCCTAATCTGTCAAATCTTGAATGCCGTAAAGTTAGCGAAAAGCTTTGCAAAGATCCCTGAAAGTGGGTGATCAATCAATTAAGCATATTGACTGCAAGGAAAAAACACCGTCAGTAAAAGAATTTTTGTAAAGTATTTTTTACTATTAGGTTGTCCCATAAGTTTTTTCATATTCGGACATTCAATTCGATTTTTCTCAGGAACTACATCACCTAGTAGGCTGCAAATTTTTGGCAGTAATTCTGAGCGAATAAGCTATATAATCACCTACTTGCGGGGAATACAGAAGTGATACAGGCAAAGTTTGAAAATTGAGCGCATTATTTTTTTCTTGGTTTCTAGCCATCAGAAAAATGCAGCAAGTGCATTTATAAATATCCGATGAGGAGAGTATATGCATGAAAAAATAGGAAATTTGCAGAGCTGTTTTGAACTGAGATATGATGATTTTCGTTTTTTCGGAATTTCGGGAAAATTTTTTGTTTTGGTTTGGAGCATGTTGCGGATTGGACTTGGTGCGAATTTTTGAACGCCATCTTGTAGAGCTTACTTTGATCTGTCGAATGGTACCCTGCAATTTATCAGGAGTTCAAGAGGAACTGATTTATGTCGTTGAAAAGTCAGGTATGAAAAGACTTATGAGACAACTTAATAGTTGGTGGTCCCGATCTCACCCGAGCTCTTAATCAGTTCAAAATGTTTTACTTACAATAAATCTCTTCTACCATGCGCGAAAAGCGCTTTGGGATGAACCTGCCGCATCCTGCCGCCTTTGAAATTAGAATGAGCTTTACCGCCAATGCTCACATGTTTATTGGAAATTGATTGGGTTAGACCATGTTTAGCTTTGACAAATTTTGGACTTTGGAACGTTGTGGCTATTTTCGGAAAGTTCTCCGCAAAAATGTAGGAAGAATTTTAGAAGCGAAGTTTAAAGGCGCGTCTAGTGGTATACATTTCGTATTGGACGCCAATGTAAATGTACCCTGCTCTGTTCTGTCAATTCAATATCACATGAAAAATTAATGTAGAGATTTCCAGTTATCATGTAGCATCGTTATTTCAAAATTTTGTCTGTTACTGAATTTATTAGAGCAGTGTCAACATTCATTCTTTTTTCGATTTGCAGAACAACGGAGAAAAAGTGATGGAGAGGAAGAAATTGCATGTAGTTTGTAAACATTAATAATAATCGCATGATGCAATCGCTGCCATCCAGCGTCTAATTTTCACTTCTCTGAAAGTGCCTCAGTTGGAATTCTCGATGCAGAAGCGATATATTAGGTTGTTGCAAAAGTTCTGTCGCATCATTTCTAAAAAATCATAACTTTTAGTTCTCTCGACGGATTTGCACAATCTCAATCTCGCTAGGAATCCCTTCTCTTTGTGATATCGCCTTTGCTGCATTCTAATAAGGGATAGCTTTTAAGATGGAAGCAGGAGAATAAAGTTACTTTATCTTCGGTCATTTTGAGTTAGGCTGCTAAAAATCTGAAACGCGTCAAAATTCCGAGCAAGCACTATAATAAGTCTTCTGATCTACATCAACATTGTAGAGTTTGTGTCAAATGCAGGGCACGGCATAGGTGGCTTACCAAACAAGCTGGATATCGTCTTTGGGAGAAAAAGTAATATTGTTTTGCCGGAATATCGTACCACTGTCTTTCGATATGAGGTCCGCGTGTCGGCGGCACGCTCCTGCATCCCGGCGGCAGGCTCTCCCAACCAAACGAAAAGCTTGCTTACGCGAAGTGAAAATGAAATGACACCAAAATTGGTGTCTAGATGGGCAATGAAGAGTTAGGACTATGTATGAAAATTTAAAAAAAATATCTAAACTAAAGGCGTGCTCAACTTTTTTCGGAGTTATTTGGCTTTCAAGCCACCAAAGAAAAGTCATGAATTTTTCCTCCCTCACCTAATTTTTTTACCTTTTTTGGATAAATGATAGCTACATCCCAAACCCTACAAGTTGACTCATAAGCCGCTACAAACCTCCTCCTCCTCGCTTATTTATACCTCTCGAAAATTATGAATGGCGGCGGCAACACTGCTCCAGGCGCGTAATGCTGCGCGCTGGATACATTATGCCACCCATCTGGAGCATACGAATATCATGCGTTGGTTTGGTGCTTCTTCGGCGTTTTTTTTGTTTTGCTTTGTTCCGTTCCTTTTCATGTATTTTCTCTTCTAATACCCCATGGCGGATGTCGTACTTTTATAGCGAGGTCAAAGGGACTTTGTTCCCTGCAATTTCGGGAAGCAACCTCGTGCCGAGTCCTGGTCAAATGAGCATTTTCGTGAAAAATTACGAGTTTTGAAAAAAAAAAGCCAAAATCAAATTTGCTGTTTTGTATTGTTTACCCAAAGATCATAACTATTCTTTCAACAAAACATTGCACTTTTGGGAACTGTGGATCAAAAAACATACTATACTGCTTGCTCGGAATTTTAACGCAAGTTTCAGATTTCTAACAGCCTAAATCAAAATGACCAGTTGAAGTAATTTTATTCTCCTGCTGCCATATCAAAGTTTCCCCTTAATAGAATGCAGCAAAGGCAATATCACAAAGGGAAGGGGGCTTCTAGCGAGATAAATTTGTGCCATCCCGTTGAGAGAGTAAGAAGTTCTAATTTTCCAAAAATGATGCGACAGAACTTCTGTCAACATGTATATTGTGTTCAGGGTTGAGCCCATTATATGTAAATGGGTTAAGGATACAAAACTTGTAGCTTCTATGTCATCGCATTAGTCTGGTTTCTGTAACGCTTTACATAAAAACTAGGTAGCTAGAATCATGCCATAGCCCCTAGCTATAGCCAGTAGCTTGCAGAACAACAAAATAGAGAATTAAACAAATCACTTTCGAACATAAAACAAAGTGTACTGAAAAGATATGCACACTGTTTGATCCTTGATAACTCTCTTGCTTCCATGTCTTTCGTCGAGCTTGGTACCATTCTGTAAAGCGAAAATCCACTTAGATGTACACTATGGAGCGGATCATCAATCAGCATACAGCGTCACTGTGGAATGGGACTTTTGACGAAATAATTCCAGAAAATATCTGAAAACTTTTACAGCGATGTTTTCAGACGTGCTGATTTCACGACACAAATTTGTACCAGTTTTCGAACTTTCTTAGTGGTGCAATCACATTTCTGACGACCGGAAAAACAGTTGCTACCTTGAACCTAAAACAACTTATTAAAGAAGCACTACAGTGAAAGTTCCATATTGCAAGTTCCATATTTAATATCAGCGACTTCGATTAGCTCAGTATAAGTTGTTTAGCTATCTTTCTGAGGCAAAATATTGCTTCTGAAGGCCTGTAAACCATCAAGAAATTCCTGCTGTAGTCCTACAGTAATAAACAGTGATTGATGATTTGTTCCATACTGCAAATCTAAATCAAACCTCGCTCTACAGAACGGTACTCCGGCTCGGCGAAAGAAGCGAAAGCAAGAGAGTTATTAATGATCAAATAGTGTGCACACCTTTTTGGAACACCTTGTATTTTCATAGGTGTACATAGAATGTAGATTTTTATGTAAAAATGGTGCACCAATACGTCTTTTTATTGCACGGGTTTACCACTTAAAATTTGCGCAGCCTTTGCACTCCTGAGAGCTTTTGGTGTAAAGTAGTTGGCCCTTTAGTACAAAAAATCCATGTGAATCTTGCGTGATCGGAAACGGTAAAAGTGAGTCATTGTATTAGGCATTCATTAGATAGTTTTTGCACAAAAGCGTGTATTCATCATTGTTCTTAGTATTTGAGCAAGTGTTAGCATGTTTCGAAGTACAGGGCTTATCAAACGCAGAGTAGCTTGAGTCAGCATCTCCACTCCGGACTCTGCGCTCTTCCGCGTACATGCTTTCTGGGGCGGTATGCAACAATCGCCCATCCGGGTAAGTTACCCGGACAGGTAGTTTCCGCTTCATAGCTTGGTGCTCTGGGAATCTTTGTTCTTCCTTGTTTGTTCATCTGTTGGAGGCTCTACTAACCTAATATTTTAGCACAATGACTAGCAGCACTTTGCTGTATAGAGATAATTCGTTACTTGTATGACCCCGAACGGGATCTCTCACTGATCACATTCATTTTCAAAGTTATTTATATCCGCAAAAACTCAATAAAGACGTCACAGAGTTTTGCTGTCGACCTATTACGACATGCTAGGCATGTTTTTAGGAGCACAGATGAAATGTGCAAGTTTTGAGTTTTTCGATAGAGCCCAATTCGCGAGCACGGGTTCAGCGAAGATTTTGTCAATTTGATTTTTCACTTATTTCTTTCACAAACATGCGTAGCACTGTCGTAATGAATGGACAGCAAAACTCTGTGACGTTTTCATTGAGTTTTTGCGGATATAAATAACTTTGAAAATGAACGTCA